GTGGAATTCACGTGGTAGAATTTACTGGATGGTAGCGGTGATTGTACTGTAACTCGCGTCATTTAAATTATGTACAGGTTTGAATGTAACAGTTCGCATTTCTCATATCACGAAACGTTCTCAGATTGTTCACACAAACAAGGAATTATGTTTAACTGTTTTGAATACACAGTTTTATTATTTTACATATTATAAATATTATCTTGAGTGAGTTGGCAACAAGTGACAAGATAGCGATCCTAACCAATTAGGATAAAGGGGGGTAAGATGATGAATTCTCAATATTTTTCAAACGTGCAACTCTGGCAACACTGTCTTCACTCAGTACCGAACAGATGTTCCAAGGTTTCTCGCCTTTGACTACAAATGCGTTAGCGGCCAGAGTTTAAAGTTTATTTCATTCAGCGATGCAGGGCATATAAACAACGATAAATTTAACAGATAATTGTTAAATATGTTCCAAATGAGTCTAGTCGTTTCGATAAGTAACAGTATAATTATGACACTTTATTAATTTTTTCTTTTCTGAACTATTAGTGTTTATTGCATAGTAAATAAATTATTGTTATCACTGAATACATAGTAAGTGAAAAAATAATCCGATGTAAAAAATTAATGAATATTTTATGCATAAATGTAAGTAACAGTTCTTCAAGAATATTTAAAAACTTATCGAAATGTCCATCTTTATTTCGTTACTGCCGACGTTGTCGGCAACTCATATAGGTTCGGACACGATTTAGGTAGATAATATATTTCGGTATTGAAATTTTGTAATTTAGATCGATTTTTGAGTAAACTTTTAGTCATCTTGATGGTTAAAGGACAATAAATTATATTTATGGTGTTAATGTTGAATTAGCAATTATTTAAGTATATATTTTTATTTAACGACCATGCCTATGCGTGATTGTGACAGTAATCACGTATTTCAATAACAGATATTAAAACCAAAAATGCCATCCACTGATTATGCTGATAAATTGGTTGAAAACACATGGAGTCCTCCTCGAAAACGAACTAAAAGAAGCCCCCTTAGCGTTGAAGTTAAAGAAATCATTTTAAATGTTTTTGAATGTGAAAGACAAGAAAATCCCGGGTTTGTAGTTGAAGATATTGTAAAAAAAGTGGCCAATAAAGTTGGAGTTTGTGATATGTTTACGGTGATCAAGGAATACACAACGAATCATCAATTCGCTGGAATAAAAGTATGTCTGACCCGGAAAAAGAAGTTTGACAAAATTGATGATTTTGACAAAAATGCGATTAGAAGACTTCTCATAATTTTTTTATGAGCAACGAAATACCCACCGTTGATAAGGTTTTAAAGAAGGTGAACAATGACCCGGATTTGCCAAATTTTTCGAAAACCTCGTTTTACCGAATATTGAAAAAACTTTTTTTTCAATATAAACGTAGGAGACGCTCTTTTACTAGATAGAGACGACATTGCGATGTGGCGAAGAGAATATCTTCAAAAGAAAAGAACTTGTAGAGAGGAGAAGCGGAAAATATATTATCTGGATAAGACGTGGTTGAACGCTGGCCATACAAAGTCTAAAATATGTTAGACACTGCAGTAAAAACATCAAGACAAGCTTTTTTGGATGCATTAACAACGGGATTAAAAAATCCTTCAGGTAATTTATTACATTCTACATATTTTAAATTTCCAAACTTAAATATTTTTTTCGACGACCATTTAAAAACATGCTTTTTATTCACTAGTTTTGAATAGATAATAACACCCATTACCTACTTATCCCGTGAGTAATAGTTCATTATTCATGGGACATTACTCACGGATTGAAGTTAGGTTCAAGTGGTGCATATCACTTTTAATATATTAGTCGCATATAAACTTTAAATAAAATAACTTAAAATCGTTTATTTAATACAACAATTACTGTAATTTATATCAAAGTTTTATATTCCCGACACTGAAAAGTAAAAGGACTTAACCTTCTACTACGGACGTGGTGCCCACATAACCCCCGACTGAATTCAAATTACGCGCAATTTTTTATTTTTGTTGTTATAGATTTGTGACTCGCATCTACCTTTAAGTTACAGTGACATCGATCACAGTAGTGTGGTATTTAATTTATAGCTATCTAAAGTTTGCAAGGGGTCTTTTTGGCACCACGTCAGTGTTTGTGAAAAATTGACGAAAATGGCAGGTTCGTCCCAAACAGTACACTACGTTGATAAAAACTATGAAGAAACTCTGTTGCCAACATGGCATGACGAGGTAGAAATGGCTCGTTAAATGACATTGAAAGTGAGCATGACACAGATTCGGTAGTAGAAGATAATAGTGAGGGAGCTAGTGCTGACTTGTCTGACAAATCCGATTCTGAAAGTGGTGAAGAAGTTGAAAATGGAATGAGTTATTATGGTAAAAATGAATTTAAGTGGTCGTTACAACCTTTTGTACAGAAAAGAGGAACAGAAAAACATAACTTACTTTCGTATTTACCAGGACTTCGTGGTGATGTCAAACAGTTGGGCAAAAGTGCATCGCCTTTAAAAATGTGGAGGTATCTAATCGATAATGACATTCTATACCTGTATTGATGAGATGCTCATAGGTATGTACACGCGAATCTTGTAAAGTTTCACATGTACATACCAAATAAACCCAACATGTATGGTCTGAAGGTCTTGATTCTTACTGATGCCCGTCCTTATTATTTTTTCAGTGAATATATTTATACCGGCAAAGACAGCGATGGCAAATTATTAACAGATGAAGAAAATACGGCTGTACTAACCCAATCCGTGGTAAAACTTATTCAATCTATTATAAATACCAACAGAAATGTAACTGCAGGTAATTGGCCCTCCTCTATTGAACTTACAAATGAGTTGCGATAAAGAGGATAAACGTATGTAGGTACGCGTAAGAAGAACAAGAAAGAAATTCCCGTCGAATTTTTGCCCAACCGGAAGGGATAAGTAGGAAGTTGTATCTGGGGTTTTACTAAACATATTACAATTGTGTCTGATGTTCCAAAGAAAAGCAAGGCTGTACTTTTAGTTTCTACAATGCATCAACAAAACACTGATGTTAAAACTGGCAATTATAAAATGAATGTCTTTTATAATGAAACCAAAGGGGGCGTAGATGCCTTGAATAAAAAATGTGCAATTTATAGTCCAAGTAGACGTACTAGGCGTTGGCCTATAGAGATATTTTATTCCATCATCGACATCGCAGGAGTTAATTCATATGTATTACACCAAAACTATCCAGAAGCAAAAAACATACTACGGGCAGAATTTTTGAAGCTGCCCGCCAAACAACTCGTTGAACGACATTTGGATAGAAGAATTATCAACCAAAGAATTTCAAGAGAATTGAGAATGAACATCAGTAGAATACTGAATAAGCCGATGATTGATGAAAACGTGAATCCCGATATGAACCAAAAATGAAAAAGATGTGTGCTCTATCCACGAAAAAATGATAAAAAGACTAAGAAGACATGTGATGTTTGTAAAATATCAATGTGTGATAATATTTGTAAAGAATGTGCAAAGTAACTTTTTATCTGAACTCCAAAATTGCTAAAGTTTGGGTGTTGTAGTTTTTTATAAGGGGTTTTTTTTGTTGGTTTATTTTGTTTTCTTATATTTTGTATATTTGTTCTTTAATTTTCCACAACTATTTTATAAACATTTTAAACAACATTTTTAGCAAACCTTTTCATTATTTAGGATATTTTGACATGTAATTTGTAATATGCTTAATAATTAACAATTTGGATAAATATTATAAAAAAAAAACATAATTTGTCATGTTTTAAAACATGTTGGCAATACTAAATAGAAATTACATGGGTCTACATGGCACCACATCCGTAGTTATGTTCCAAAAAGTACACGTCAGTGGTAGAAGGTTAAAAGGGACTATAGTAACAATGGGTCAGTATATTTTTTACGTTTACCTATAGTTTATTTACTGTGAATTTTGACAATTATCATAATATTCAGTGCTCATAAAGTTTACTATACATTTGTTCTTATAATTTTTCGGAAACGAATAGAACTTGAATTTACTATTTCTTGTTGTATTTTACAATACATACGACAGTATTTACTAATAGTAGGCAACCAATTATTTAGCCGCATGTGGTTGGTAAACAACATTTATTTTTGTAAATTATAATTTTAATCTCGAGTAGTTGATAATTATATTTTTTTACTAATTAAAATAAAAAAAAATTCGGAGAAAAAGTATAGTATTCTACTCGTATTTAATGGCTACTACTCACTCTGATCAATTACGACAATTGCCTTCGGCTTCTACCGCAAACTTCATCATCGTAAGTAATAGCCATAATAGCATGCTCGTTGAATAATTACTATAAATTTTTAGGAAAAGGCAAAATACTCATTATTTGTCACATTAGAGAGATATTGCATAGTCACTTTTGCACTTGCTGTATTACAGCATGCGTTATTTTGACAGTAGAGCATGCGCAGATGTGATATTTGGCTTACGCTGCGTTATTGAAAATAAGGCCTACCGTTATTAGGGGAGCCGTTACGCTTTGCGGAATTCGTTGGCGCTATTTTTTTTTTCTTGGTTATGTTTGTTGTTTGTGCAGAGATATATCTGTATTTGTGTCATTTAAACCAAGTTTATTTCTAAAATTTTTTTCAAAATGAGTACATTAGACAGTAGCAAACGGATCAGATTTACGTCTGATGATGAGGTTAGTTCAGGAAAACATGAGGAGTGCAACAGGAAAATCCTTTATTATAAGAACTCTAAAGGATCATTTGTTTCTATTGCTGGATATTTGGAAAAAAACTGCAGCAGACCAGAAAAGGTTTGTTTCGTTATTGATAAAATTTTTAATAAATAAGACTCATGATAATAAATATATGTCTCTGTTCAGAAAAAACACATTTTGAAGGAGTAGTATACATATTGTATGATATCTAGACTATTTTGTATTCAACAAAATATAACAATTAAAGTTTTGTTTTAGATCAGGAGTAGAAGAAGTGTATACTGAAAGGGACAGATGTTTGCAGGAGATAGCAGAGATGTGTGCGGATTTAACTTTGGCACCTCCTCCGAAAAAGAGGCGAACTATTTCTAAGGAGAAACAAATAATTGAATTGGGTCGGAATATGAGGGATAATCATTCCTCAGTATACGTGAAAAGTGAGACCAGAGACAAAACAGAAGTAGTTGAGGTTGATCATAGTTATGGTAAATAATATGCCTTTCTTCTTCATAATAATATTGTTTAACATAACTATTTTTCAGTTATTTTACCAGAACATCGAGGTGAAGAGGTAATTGTAGACAATGTGGTGGCCGAAGAAGTAGAGTCAATACAAAATACACCATGTTAGTATTTATTTATATTAAAACATATATCTTGTTGAACAAATGTAAGAAAGATGCAAAAATATGATATTCAGAAAATTTGCTTATTTCGCTAACTTGTTTTATTATTTTAGATATTCCAAGAACTTTAGGTAAGGCAGAAGACAATAAAAAACAAATAATGGGTATGTTTATTTATCCAAAGTGAGTAATAAAATAAAGATAAGTATTTACACTTTAAATTTTTAGGACCAGTAAAAAGGAGGCAAAATAAAAGTGTGTTGTTACGTACAAATGGTTTGGACTACCTAACCAGAAAGAATGAAAAAGATTTTAATATAAGAGGCAGGGAATTGGCTTTAGAAGAAAAAAAAACTGAATTAGAAGAGCGACGGTTAAATATAGAACAGGAAAACCTCAGATTTCAGGAAAAAAATGGGAGAATGAATTTAATGAAACAAAATTACAGAGGGAGTTTGAGAGAGAAAAGATGAAAGCAGACCTGGCCGAAAAAAAGAGCACTATAGCTCTTATTGAATCGCAATCAAAAATTATAGATTCTTTATTAAAAAGGTTACAAAAATATGAAGATTAATGTGTAAATTTTATAAATAAAAAGCTAAAATATTATTACAGTTTTATTATTCCTCTATATATAGGTAGTTTTCTTGTTTTGGTGTTGTTTTTCTTCTACCTTTATTTATAATTTCTCTGTTTCCAACATAATATATCATCAATCAGCCCTGAGTTGTCCATTGTTGAACATAGGCCTCCTCTAGATTTTTCCATCTGCTTCTGTTCTGCGTATTTCCCTGCCGCACACCTCTGCCAATTTTGATCTTCTCAGTCATGCAATGGAGGTTAACGGTTGTTGTCGCATTTTCCTATAATATTTGCATACCTGTGATCTATTCTGCATTCTGATAGTGCTTTTAGGATAGCAACTGTTTCGACTGTGTCAAATGCTTTGTGGAAGTTGACAAAGATAAGAGCAAGGGGTCTGTTATATTCGATAGACTTTTCAACTAGAGTTTTAAGGCATTGCAAATGGTCGTTTGTTCCATGTCCCACTCGAAATCCTGCCTGTTCTTCTGATTAATAGAAATCGAGTTTTGCTTCTAATCTGTTTGTCAGTATTCGAGTAAAGAGCTTGTATATGTGGTTAAGTAGACTAATTGGCCTATAGTTTTTGAGATCTAATTTATCCCCTTTTTTGGGAAGGAGGATTGTAACCGAATTCTTCCATTTACATAACATAATATATAATTTTAGGTATTTATAATTAAAACACAAATTAAGAATGAATTAATATAATATACAAGTAACAAACAACTGAAAAGAAAATATTGAACAACCAAAAAATTTGAATTTACATCCTAACTGTAAGCTATTGAATCTGTAGGTAGTTTTCTAATGTTGGTGGTACAACGCCAAAAAACCTGGTGGTTTGACTGCCATACAAGCAAGTATGGCAGTTGTTTAATATAACTCCAACTTTGTACATATTTTCTAAATCTTGTAATAGGAGTTTTTGGTTTTTCTTAAAATCTAAAAAGGCAAATTGGGCTAAAATTTTCTGAAATCCCCATTCTACAGCAGTTCTAATAACTTTCATTGAGTTATTAAATGCCTGTTGATGTTGTAGTAAACCCTGTCTATTAGGATATGGACACAAAAGCAAGTTACTTATGGGATAAGCTTGGTCCCCATATAAAACATAATTTCTATCGCCAAATGTGGCCACAGCTTCTAATTCATTATATATATTAGATTCCCTAAAAATCCCAGCATCATGTCGTCGTCCAATATATGCTCCTTTTAAATTGATAATAATACCATCAGGGCACATGATTGATTGGTACTTCAGACAATGCTGTCTTTTATGACCAGAATAATAATCTTCTTGATTTACTGTTGGTCTGCATATTGCTCTCGTTGTTCCATCTATAAATCCCCAACAGTTTTGGACAGCACCACCTCTTGTACGTACAGCCTAAAACATGACACAAAATTTAATACCTAAGTCACTTTTCCAATGAATAAATTTAAAAGTAGATTTACCTCAGCATACATTTCCATTCGTTCCTTCTTTAACCATAGGACATTTCTCAAATCTATTAAATGATCTGCATGATTTTCATAAATAAATGCAACCATATAATTAATAATTTGTGATAATGATTGAGGTGACAAATTAAATAAAAGCTGAAGGTCTTTAAGCCTGCTGGGGTATGCGAGCCTTCTCAATAATATGCACAGAGCCATCACTCCTAAAAACAAAAACGTAATAGCATAATTTGAAAAGTAAAGTAGAATGCAAATGCACTCACCACTAACAGAGTTTCTAGTATTGGTATGGATAAACTCTGGTAGGCGTAAAGCTCTTGCAAGTGTAGGAATATCTTGCTTGCTAAACCTAAAATTTACTTTTACATCTGATTCTGACATGTTTTCTAAATTAAATTCTTCATTTTGTGGAAGTAATACATGTTCACCTACAATATTATTTAAAATGATGTATTCTATATCATTATCATGAGCATTTGCTAGAATAAGTGCTTCTAAATCATAATCCATTTTCAAAATAATTTGCGAACAAATGAAAATAAAACAAACAACGTAAATAACGCAACAAAGTGTGCATAAATTTAAGCAATATCTCTCTTTGCGGTGTGTCAGCCGTATGTCAAAACTGTCAAAATAGCGCGGTGTAAATAGTGCAGCGCAGGCACTGTCAACTTTGCAATAACTCTCTATAATTAGCAATGATGGGTTTGTTGTAAATGCACTCTGGGCATTTGAGTCGAATAAGTCTGATGATCACCATAAAGAGATGACAAATCGATTATTGTTCGCGACAACGCATCATACCATTCACGTAAAACAGAGAAAATTCCAACCAGTTCATCTAAAAAAATCGATATCCAGAATTGGCTCCGTTCCAAAAATATAAATTTTGATGAACATACGGTTAAAATGCAGCTTCCTTCGATCGTAAAAAAAACATATACATTCTTATGATAAGTACGTAATTGATGAAATGGCAAAATCACAAAATAAAGTGGTACTGGGCTTCCTCCGTATCACTATGAGTTAAACCCCATAGAACTCATCTGGGGAAATATTAAAAATGATGTCGCAGGAAAGAACACCACTTTCAAATTTACAGATGTCAAGAATTTATTTCATTATTCAATTTTATCAATTACACCACAAACATGGCAGGACTGCATTTTCCATGTTCAAGAAAAAGTAAAAAAGGAAATGTGGCGGCTGGACAATATAGTCGAAACTTATGTTGAACTACTTGTTATAAACCTTGATGATAGCGACACGTCATCCAGTTTATCAGAATAATCTAAAAGTAGCCGAGATCTCGGTCTCTGCCATATATTTACGCCGAACTCAACCAAATTTATTATGAATCACTTTGTATCTTTATTCCAAAAAGCTAAACGTTTTGCAATATTTTAAGCGCAGGTCACGTCAATAAGTGTTTTGACAATATTTTCGGCGACAGTCGGGTTGCATCAACAAGCGTTTTTTCCGCGACAGTGCTGCAGTTATATTTACACTCAATCAATGTTGCAATGATCTTATGATCTTAAAGAATGTGATTATTTTTTTGAAGTTTATTGATCAAGATCTTATGCAATATATCGGGAAACCAATAATTACTACATAACTGTGCATCAGTTGAAAGTATAAAATAAAAAAAATGGACTGGCACAATTATGAGTGACATGTATACCTTCTTCGCTTTAGTGATGCCAATGCCGCATCTGGACAACAGATTAATTAACCCTACACTGCGCGGTGTAACAGATATGACACGTCTCGATTTCAAAGCAGTTATTTTAAATTTAAATGCGTTTAAAGCTACACTGCGCAGTGCGTACATTCTGCTACAACCTTATTTATAATGATAATAAAGTCGGATTTGGTTTAAAGCTATTTTCAATGAAATAACGGACCATATTGTTCGTATCGGAATTTACAAGCTTAGCACGTCCGGAAGCTTGTACAAAGAATTTAGTTTCGTGGGTGTTATAAGTTATTGTGTTGCAGTTTTATATATTTTGTATAAGGTATGTATGTTATTTTTTCAATGCATTATTTTTAAAATAAATACTAGTCAGGTTTCTACTGAGAATGGAATTGAAATAGGTTGTTACATACTGATACATTGCGCATGACAGTAACTATTTGAAATATTTGTGGGTTATGTGGGTTATTTTTGAATTGCTTGTATTTGAACAAAACATACTTTTGTTGCAGGTTTTTAGCCATGTCTAACCGCTTCAGATCTCTTACTCAAAAAAAACTTGAGGAAGCAATCCTCAATTTGACAGATACTGAAGACGAGCTCGATGGTGAACTGGATGAACTAGACGAAGATGACTTAGATGTTTCACATATGCCAGTAGAATTGGAAGATGGAGTTGTAATACAACCAGAAGAATCAACCAGTAGTGAGTATTCAGATAGTGAAATTAATTCCTTGAATAATACTGACGATCCTCCATCTATCTCTGTGTCATTGCCAGATACCAAAAAGGAGCACAGGAATTGAAAGAAAAGTATTCAAAAATAATATGACGTAAGAAAAATTTAAGTCTGAACGAAGACTTCTTAGTTTTCAGGGGAAAATCCGAGCTTCCTGAAAATATTCTTAATCTCTCAACACCTTATAGCTTTTTTAAGTATTTATTTGATGATAATCTTTGTAAAAAAATCACCACGGAATCTAATTTGTATTCGACACAAACTAATCCTAGTAAACCTGCGATGCTTACTACTGATGATATAAAACAATATATTGGCGTCTGTATATACATGTCGTTAGTAAAAATGACAAACGTTAGAGGTTACTGGTCCAATGCTTTAGGACTTCCCCAGATAAAAGAAGTTATGCCTTAAAAAAGATTCCAAAAAAATTCGCCAATATTTACATTTTAATGGTACCAAGAGATCATCCTAATCATGATCGTTTACATAAACTTCGGCCCATTGTCGATGAACTCAAGAGAAAATTTCAGTCAGTTCCTCTTTAAAAATATTTATCTGTTGATGAACAACTGTGTGCCACCAAAGCTCGATACCATATGAAGCAATATCTTCCAGCGAAACCCCATAAATGGGGATACAAATTGTATGTTCTCTGTGGAACGTTTGGTTTTTCATCTAGTTTTGAAATTTATACAGGTTCAGAAAACGATCCGAAATTTCGTGAGATAAATGAACCCGACTTGGGATCAAGTGCCAACGTTGTTGTCGGACTTTGCCGAATACTACCTTGTAACGAAAATTACAGAGTATATTTTGATAATTTTTATACTTCGATACCTTTGATGGTCTACCTATTGCAATGTGGTATTTACTCGTTGGGAACGGTAAGACGTTCGAGATTACCTAACTGTAAGCTACCTTCTGACCAACAACTAAAAAAAGAACTCAGAGATCTTCTCATGAATTCGTGTGGGACATTGACGGTGTTGAGGTATCTTCAGTAATTTGGCTGGATAATAAACCTGTTACATTCCTATCGACATATAAAGGTAAAATGCCATTAACTGAGGCCAAACGTTGGGATAGGAAGCAATATAGTTACGTCAGCATTGAATGTCCAAGTTTGGTTCCTGAATATAATGCTTATATGGGTGAAGTTGACGCTATGGACAGTTATATTGGTCGTTATAAGATAAAGATGCGGACAAAAAAAATGGTATCTCCGGTTATTTTATCACCACCTGGATATGACTACTGTCATTAGTTGGCTCCTCTATAGAAGATGTATATGCAGGGCTAACAGTATTAATTTTCCATTGAAACGGGGAAGACCTTCTGATCAAAGCATCGAGAAACTTCTACAAGAAAAGAGAAGAGAATCGGCAACTGTGAGTTTTGTACCTCCAAAAGACATCAGAACTGACTCCATTGATATCTGACCTACATATGATGAAGTCACAAAAAGGTGTAGATTACCAACATGTAAGTCAGTCTCCTTCATAAAATGTTCTAAATGTGGTATACATCTTTGTTTGAACAAAAATAATAACTGAATTGTAAAATTTTACGAGAACAAAGTTTTTCACTTTGATGCGCAATGTAACAGATCTGTCAGAACAACATTTTAGTATAAGTATAATAAACTAATTAAAAAAAAAATTTGATTATTTCCTTGTTTTGTTGACACAATTACTTTGTCCAGATTTTGTTGGAAACGAAATAAAAAATTGCGCAGTATAGGGTTAATAAAAACGACCTTTTTTAAAAAAATATATGAACAGAGATCGCATTCTTCAACTACTTCGATATTTACACTTCGTCGACAATGTAAATCCAGCAGAACATGACAGACTCCTTTTTAGGCAACAATATATCCCCTCGAAAAGACACCGATTTGGAGTAAAAATGTTTGTGCTGTGTTATAGTGAAATTGGAATAGTATCAGATTTTCATGAATGTGTTGCTTGTGTGAGTCCATATCAAATAGGTAAAGAAATAATAATAAGACTTACTCACAATCAATTTAATTTAACAATCAGACGACCGGTTTCGCTTTCTACAATTTGCAAAGCATCTTCAGGTCTAGATACAAAGTTAAACTAATGCTGCAATAAAATAAACCCAATTAGGGTGGTGTCTAATAAAGATAAAATAAACAAATAAGTTAGTTCATACAAATTATGCAATATTACAGTGGTCAAATGAATAAATTTGAATATATAAAATGTATTAACAGACAAGGTAAGACCCACAATTGGTATAAAGTAGTAATATTATATTGTAATAAATTAATAAATGAGCAGATAAATAAAACAAAACAAACATTACTTACATGCCGGTACTCTATTAATTGATGGATGGTAGGTCATGGTTGCAGAAATCATGTATTGTTGATTGGAGAACTTTAATGTGCTATTGCAGTTGTTTTGACAATTTTATTGGACAGTTTATTATATACAGAGAAGTAGGTTCTTATAATTTTATATAAAATTAAAGTAAATTGAAGTAAGCGTGATATAATTTATTATGACAACGTAAAATAAATATTTGCGTACACGCAATTTATGAAATAAAAAAGCTTGTTTTCACACGTAATTTTTTTTCGTTTAAAAAGCTTTTAAATCACATTTTTATACATAAATACCTACGAGCTATTTTTTCATTTCATAATTTATTGTAGCTCCAGTAGACATTGTAGAAAAACAGGCAGTTTTTCTTAATAACAGCTATTCTGAGTTTAACACTGTCGAATATGGTGTACCTCAAGGTTCGATATTAGGACCCACTTTGTTTCTTATTTATCTGAACGATTTATTTCACTACACTTTTCCTATAAAATGTGTTTGCTTCGCAGATGATACAACTCTCATAAATACTGATATTAATCAGAATAATTTAAAAATTAAAATAGATAGTGATACCAAGAAAGCAAAAAACTGGTTCTCACATAATGGGCTAATGCTAAATGAAGAGAAAAATCAGAATTTGATTTTTAGTTCTGATTGGAAGTATATCTTAAGAAACAGTGTTAAACTATTAGGAATCTTTATAGACGATAATTTGGATTGGAGTGCTCATATAGATTACTTAAGTTCTAGACTTGCTACAAGTATATTTTTAATGCGCAACTTAGTTTATATGATTCCTAAAAATACCCTTAGAATGTGCTACTTTGCACTATTTCATAGTCATTTACAGTACGGAATAACTGTTTGGGGTAATTCTTCTTACGCAGATCGAATTTTTAAATTACAAAAAAGAGTAGTGAGGATACTTGCAAGAGCAGAGTATAGGGATCACTGTAAACCTTTATTTCTGGATTTAGGTATTATGCCACTACCTTCACTCTATATTTATAACACGCTGATTGAAATTCATGCCAACAAAGGTAAGTTTAACGTAAACTCCAACGTCCATGATCACGATACAAGATCTAGAGATGCTATTAGAGCACAACGTTTTAGGTTGACAAAGAGCGTAAAAAATTCGACTGACGTTAGTTTGTATAACTGTTTGCCAGATGAAGTAAAAAGTCTTGACTTGTTATCATTTAAGCATAAAATCAAATCACACTTTTTGAAACATTGTTTCTATTCAAAAACGGAGTACTTAAGTACAGCTTTTACACAATAGTACTAGTTTGGTCAGGGCAGTTGCCTATTATAATTATATTTCATGTTTTTTTTATAATTCCACAAAGTGTGTTTGTCGTTTTTTTTTTAACTGTTAATATTAAATACATACATGTTTGTAATGTTTAAATTATCCAAAAAAATTTTATATGTTTTATAAGTATTGTCACTATTCCTTTGACTTGTCAAAAACAAAACTATTTTTGTATATTTGATTAAATAAATTCTATTCCTAAAATTTAAAATTGATTTTCTTTTATTTAATTGTACACAACTTTAGTATAGGTTCTTCTTCTTCTTATTGCATTATAACTCTGGATGGGTCTTTGCCTATTTGACTATTTCACTCCATTTCTTCTCTCGCGCTGCGTCTTACTTCTCCATTGTAAGTATTATGTTCATGGTTTTCAGATCGTCTTCCACGGTATCCAACCATCTCATTCAGGGTCTTCCTGTCTTTCGCCTTTCTGGTGGTTTCCATTGTAAAATTTTCTTTGTTGTTTTTGGGTCTTTTAATCTTTGGACATTACACAGCTCCATACCTACCTCTGATTTTAAATCATACAATATCGTGCCTTTCGTTTATTTCATTGATCTCAACGTTCTTCTGATCCTCCAAGTGCCATCCTCTTGTACTGGTCCCCATCCTCTTGTACTGGTCCATATACTTTTTTAATGTCTTTCTATAAAATATCTCAAGATGTTCATCTTTTTTTTTGCCATTAACCAGGTCTCACACACATCCATAGGTTGCTACAGGTCTAATTGATGTTCTGTAAATAATCATGATAGCCATTCTATCTAATAATTTTGATTTTATCTGTCATGTGCCCACTCGTTCGAAGTTGTATTTATCTCTAGCGATACTGTTTTCATTAAGTGCGTTCGCCAAAACTGTCGGCGACTTTTTGTACACGACAACGCATGCACACTTTAATTCCATATATTATATATATTTATTTAATGTATTATCATTGATTGATAAATATACCAGTATATTAATAGTTAATAATTAATTAATAATATTAATTAATAGTAAATATACCTTTATATTTATCAATCAATGGTATTATTTATATTATTTTAATGTGCGCATGCGTTGTCGTGCACAAAAAGCCGCCGACAGTCTCTGCGAACGCACTTAATATCAAGCGTTCTTTTGACAGTCATATACTTGGTCTTTGTTTCATTTATTTGTCGTCCTCTTTTTGTGCTTCACAATCAATTTCCTTTAACGCCCCTATGAGACGTTGTTTGCTCCTGCTGATGATGGCTACATCATCTGCATAAGCAGTTATTTGTATTGACTTGGTGTTAATATGACTCCTTTCACATTCGTTTTTCGGATGACCGCTTCAAGGATTAGGTTAAACAGCATGGTTTATAGTGCATCTCATTTGTGCACATTAATGTCAAATAATAGCGGTGTCAGTCCTCCATCGACCCTAACGAACTGTGGTTTTTGGCTACTGTAATGCCATTTTTATGAGACTGATATATGTATTAGGTATACCCAGGTTACGAATAGCATTTTGTTTCTTTTAACACTGTCAAAACCTTGCCCAAAATCTATACAGTGTGACAAAGTCAAATGGAATAAATTCATTATTTCGTAAACCGGCGACTTTAAGGAAAAATCCCGAACCAAGTCGATTTTTATTTTTAAATTAGGATTTTTTGCATATTTATCATACTAGTGACGTCATCCATCCAGGTGTGATGACGTAATGGATTCTCTATTCAGTAATATAAACATTGACATAATTATTTATACAGGGTGTCCAAAAAAAATTTAATTAAATTAATCTACACAAAAAGAAGGGTGTATGTAATTTGTCTAATTCAAAATACATTTTACTGCTATTATAAAACAGAAAAAAAAATGTTTATTTCACAAATAAACATTGCTTTTCGCATAAATTAAATGTTCAAACTTCCAAGAGGCAGGTGAGTGGCAGCTTGAACATTGAATTTAAGCGAAAAGCAATGTTTACTTCTCAAATATTAATTTTTTCTGTTTTCTGATGGCAGTAAAACGTATTTGAATTAAATAAATTACGTACATTCTTCTTTTTGTGTAAATTAATTTAATTAAAAAAAAAATTAACCAAGTTTCCAACAGAGGCTTTATCAAAACTATTTGTCGAATAAGAAGCAATCACTATACGACTCCAGTCTACAAAAGAAAAATATGACTTGTAGATAATGATGAATGTTTATGTGGGGGGGGGGGGCTAGCTCATCTACAACAATATGCTGTTAGAATGTCCTCTACATTTTATTGAAATATCAAACTTCTATACCAATCTAGTTCAAGTTAATGTTCAATTACCTTCTAATCTTACATATCTTTTAGAGTCAAAGAATCTAGATGTATATAAAATTTTATATAGTCATATTAATTGTTTAAAATTAAAGCTAGTAAACTTACTTTACTTAGCGTAGTAAAAAAGGATATACAAAAAAATACATAAAAAAACAAAAAAAAAACTAAATAAGGAAAAAATAATAAAAAAATACAATACAAAAAAATAGCATTAAAAATAGAATAAAACAAAAAAAAAACAGAGTAAAAAACTTAGTAGTAATAGTTTTAAATGTAGATACCAAGCACATCTTTTGTAAAAGAGAGAACTCAAAACAACCTGACCAGTTGGTTCCTAAAACCAGTGCCTACCAATAAAACACACACATATAATTTCAAGCCTGGGCCCTGATTCTATTTCATTTCGATGTCGAAATTTAAAAGCGACTACGACATGACAGTCGCAATCGCTAGCGATTCTCATTCATTTCGATTTTAGTTAAGAGTGGGGATATTTACTTTATCATATTGACATTGCTGAGAATTTGGGTTGGGCCTCTTGTTTATTTGCTGCACGCTGCACAAGCACATGTACGAGTCTACGACGCCTTGTTGAATCACAATTGTTTTGTTTATACATATTGTAAACATACAATACATATTGTTTTGTTTGAAATTAGTTTGTTTTACGTTATATTGTACGTATCGTTTTTCTTTTTTGAGTGAGTTTAATTTAATAAAAATGGATGGAGAATCTTTCGGTGATGGTGGCACTAAATTGTCGGTGGAACAAAAGGAAATAATGGTGGCTTTTTTGGAGGACCATCCTGATTTTGCCAAGGGCAAACTCCTTGGCCATGATGGCCAGTAGAAAAAAAAAGGAATGTGGGAAATTTTAAGTACCCAACTAAATGGTGTATCTGGGCCCAAAAAAGTAGCCAAAAATGGCAGAGTAAGTACATACTTTGAGTGGAGCATAAATGCTGTAGATACTTTATATCGCGTAGAATTTTTTTTGTTCAAATTTTTGATTTGAAACATCACAAGACAAAATACCTATTTCATATATTTATTTTTTGTTGATAGGTATGAATTGACTTGAAAAATAAAGTAAAAAAGAAGGCTAGTGTCATAAAAATAGTAAAACACAGAGAGGAGGAGGTCCTCCTTTAATAGGAATCTTAACTGACCTAGAGGAAAGGATCATAAGGATAATTGGGGACACTGCCATATATGGATTAAGCAGTTCAAGGGATGATCCTTTGGACAGCGAGGATGTGAATGAACCCTCAGAGGCAGTTGACGTAAATTATGACCACGAAGCATCAAGCAGCACCATTATTGCTGGTGTATTAGACAGCGAACCAGATGTGTTTGAAGAACATAATTACACTTCAGTAAGTTTTTTTGTAGTATGATATTTAATGTTTGACTAAACTAATGTTTGTATTTTGAGAACAATTTCCGAAGTGAAAATTGAAACGCCAATAAACATACTTTAACCTTTAATTGTGGCTTATTCCCAGTTAAATAGTAATTAATTTAAAATTCCACAAGAAAATAGCTTCAGAACAATGATATGGTTAATAATTCATACAAAAATTTTATTACAATAATTAAAACAAAAACTCTTTTCAGACACCAGAAAACCCAAGAAAGCGCAGGCTGTTAGGTGCTGGCAGTTCAAGTAGCTACTATGAGGTTTCCCCTAGAGCTACTAAAAGTAGGAAGGTATGTACTTTGATTTATAAATAAATAGTTTATTTACTGCTATACCAATTACAATAATTACAATCATTAAATAAATCATATCATATTAACAGTTTTAGAATTCAATAATAATTACATACAATTTACACAAGACAAATAAATAGAGTAATATCTAAATGAGGATAGGAGAATATTATATATATATATATATATATATATATATATAATATATATATATATATATATATATATATATATATATATATATATATATAATGAAACAGAAGTATTTGCTGGCCACGTAAGGAAGTAAACTTTAAATATTGGGTATGCAGCAATAAAAATGGAACGTGTACTCTTTTAAATTTAAAATTATTAAAATTTAAAATTAATTAAAAATTCGATACTTACAAACTTAATGAGGTTGTATCATAAATGATTTTATAAAATGTTGATACAATTTATCACAGTCTGTCATATTCTAAAACCTATTCCTATATTTAAAATTTATTTATTCCGATGGGTATTTTTATTTAATTTTCTTTGGTTGGGAAAGAAAAAGTATGACAATATATATATATATATATATATATATATATATATATATATATATATATATATATATATATATATATATATATATGTATAACAAAGCTTATAAGCTAAGTACTTTGATTTGTTTCAAGTACTTTTCATTCAATTAATAATTTTATGTTTTTTTTAGTTCATCCAGCAACATCTGCAGCACAAGCAGCAACAAGGTTTGCTGAAATTGGTGAAGAGTTGAACCAGAGAATGGAGTGAATTGATCAACTCCATTTTAAGGAATATTGTAACTGCAATCGAAAACTTAAAAAAATAATTGATTTACATTAATAATAATAATTTTTTCATTAGTTATATGACTTTTATTTTAATTATCCTGCAATTAAATTTAGGTGTTTAACACAAGCATAAAACAAGAAAAAGCCAGAAAAAGACAAGAAAAGATTTATTACGTATACAATGAATTTTACTAAATACTACTACTACTGAGCATTATTACTTTGTGAACAATAAATTATATTGTTTACAAATCGATCAATATAATGAAATGTACTCAGTTGACGAAAAATCGCATAATGTTGTATTCAGGCAATAGCGCGAACCTTTTCCTGCCACTACCGGATCTTTATTTAACGTAAGATATTCTAATTCACTAAAATTTAATTCCATGTTAAGTTAAGTTATACAACAATTCAATGAATTCCAATATACTGTTACTGTGATCTTTATTCCTAATAATAATATATGATAATTTTTAAACATAAAACTATAACAAATGTTATAATAAAACATGAATAAAACATTTTTATTATTAGTTTTTTCTCCTCAACTGAGTACATTTTTTAATCAACTTAATTTTTTTTAAACAATAAATCACAAAATTTTGGCGATTTAAATCATAGATAAATATAATATAATTGATTTAAATATTGTCAAATATCAGAAACAATAATATGACAAAACGCAACACGTAATACACATTTTTTCACAGAAAAATGTATTATAGTTTAGCAAACTTTTGGAATACGTTTAAGTCGTAGAATAATTTTAACAGTTGTTTTTGATACATATTTGAGTCCTCTACAAATAGTTTCCCATGACTTTTGGTGTAAAATAATTAGGGAAGCAGGAATTCAACAATTAGGAATTTACCATTGAGTTTCCTATGGCCCGTTTTTGCCGATTCACCACCCTATATATATATATATATATATATATATATATATATATATATATATATATATATATATATATATATATATATATACCTATATATATTATAAATCCATAATATTAATCACAATATTACCTGGCTTTCTTTAAATTTCATTCCACATCATTTCTTGGATATTTAATCCATCTTCTTGTCAAATGCCTTATTAAGACATTAGTGACCTCAATTATATTGCGACTGAGGCTTGACTGACTAACGCATGTTAAAAAATTGTTAGCTAGGCCCCGTTGGTAGCTCCCAACACCATAAAAATGTAAAACTGAGAGTACCTAAACTGTATAGAAGTTTTGACTTAGTGGTTATATTCTGATATATTTTTAAACTTAATGCAGCTTAGTAATACTTACCCTAAACATTTTAGATATCCTAGAGGCATAAACACCTTCCTCCAAATATGGTTCTAATACCCTTATCAGATAATTTGCAGCTTGTTTATTAAGCCGGAATTGCTGCCTAAATTGAGCGTCACTTAGTGAAAAAGGGTTTTGAGTATCCCGTAACATTCTTCTTATCCTCCGTTGTGATAGTATAGTTTAAACAGGATCCTATTGTGTTATCCCGTGGGAACTTTATTGCTAAAATGTAAAACCCATTTTTTTGGTTTTTAATATCTTTGTAAGGCAAAATCACTTGGTCGTCCAAAAATCGTAGTGGGAGGGGGGTGGTGGGGAGCCTTACAAAAAAAAATGCAATTATTTTTTTTTCATCGTTTTTCGGATGTACAATATCCGAACATTCATTCATCAAATTTGCATACCCATCTGAACATTAGAAATATTTTTATTTTATTTATAAAAATACGTCAAACCATTGTTGTATACGGAGCGCCTTCATACAAAATCACTTGTTCTGAAAACCCATATTTTTAAAATCTTTTACCTCGCTCTACCTCGAAAATATTGGGTTAGCAAAAAATTACTTTCTATAAACATTATAGACCAAAAATCAGAGAACACGTGGGTTTTTTTTAGAATTTCAATTGGATAATTAGTTTAAGAAAAAATTAAATAAATCGAACGGCATGTCACGACTGACAGTGCTGAACGCAGAGATGCGAGGAAGGGCTAGATTCCTGTGCGAAAGTCAACCGCAAATTGACTCTATTGATGACGATGTTGTTATGGTCGTTTTTTCATTGTGATGCTGATTATAAGGAGGATGAATACTGCTAGCGTAAATAGTGACTTCTTTGGCTCGTTTTGTTGTCAGAACACTTTTAGAATACTGTATGTGTTAAGTGATAAAATATATAGTAGTATTTATGTTATCATAATAGGTATTGTTGTATATCTTTAAGGTTGGATACTTATTATTACTATTATTAAATTATTAATATTATCCAGATTTAGCCATAGGGCTTGCACTCCCTCAAAGGGGAAAATTCACTTATCTCAGATACTTACGATATCAAAAGGATTGAGCTCTGGTGGGACTCTTTCTGTGTTATCGAGCCCTAGGTGACTTAGTATGTAGAGGTATCCCGTATCCCCAAAAATTTTCGTACAGATTATTGTTATTATTATAAAGCTTACTAAGGACTTAGTAAAGTGGTTAAAGTTCAAAAGCTTGGAATATACACATCTAAAATGGCATCGGTTTTCCTTGGCAATACATTTCTGATTCAAGAACAAAGGATAGTAATAAAAACAATTAAATCTATGTACTTACCTATTTCTTACTCACTAGATATCTTATGTTAGTTATCTTATTCTAAGTCAGACTCTTCGGTATTCTAAGAAGAACTAATATCTTCTACGGTTAAAATTGTTTCACGTATATTACCTTTATTGCCACATTTCGCCTGGGCCACCCATTTACAAGAACCAATGCATTTTGATATGTTTGCTTTCACACGAGCATTGGGGCCCTGTACAGTCTGAAAATTATAAAAAAAGCTAATATAATTATTCTTCACATAAAAAGGCAAAACTTGACTCACCTTTTTTACATTTAAAACTATTCAGAATATATGTATCTTTCGTCAACATGGGTTCCGTGCTTAAAACTGGTACCAGCTCTCTATTTTGTTTACTCCAGCGACTTAGCAACGGATTTGGCAGACATGGTCTTGGTGTCGCACTACATAGCCATATTTTAGGTGTCGTAGTGGCCAAAATACCTCTTAGAGTATTAATACACTTAATATTGTCGTTAGGTGTATAAAGAAGAATAACAGATTTAACAATATCATATCATCGAAAACATCTTTGCTCAAATATTCTTTACTTCCCACTCTAGATAGGAGACTATAATTTAATAGAAATACCTTCCAATATGAAAGGCTGGTCAACATTTCCTTAGGAAGTAATCCATAGAGAGTTCGTGGATACCTATAAATCTTTCGTTGTCCTTTGTTCCAACCCTCACCTAAACTTCTGGAGTTGAAAGGTCTTTAAAATGGGCACATCGGTAACTTTACAGTCGACTATACATTTTGTATATCCCTCCATTTTTGCTGACAGAATGTGTAATATTATTCTGGTATCGGCCTCTTTATGTGATGAAACTAATATTTCAGAATTCAAACCAAAATTTGTTTTGTAATGTATAACGTCGCAAAATCCTCTGCTGGATACGAAGTGAGCGGTACAATTTGTTAAGGAATATTTAACTAGCTGATTGCTTACGAAGTGTGTAAGCTGGTTTTTATTAAAAACTCAATTAATAAATGAATTCCATTTTGAGGTAATACTGTATCCGGACCTTTAATTAACCGTTGTATTGATTCAATTTTGGCGCCTCTCTTTTGTCTCGTGCAGTTTTTTATGGAAGATTACTTGTAGTGATCCAAAACAAAATCGATCCTTTTAACGCTGTAGGGGTTCTTGAACACTATTGATTTCAAAATTCTTGCATAGTCGTCAAATGTTTTGGCATTTGATGGTTTGCCAACGGCTTCAATCAATCCCATACCATCAAAAATGTGACACGTTTTGTGATTTTGTAACAACTGTAAACTGTTCTATTATAGAACCTAAGGCAGATTTATTTTATGGTATCGATAAAACTCCTGCTGGTACAAGTGACATTGGATAGCTGTCAATTCCTATTTGAAAATATCCTCATAATATTTATGTCTTTTTCAATTGCCTTGGTTGCTAATATTTTTTGTAAAAATTCTTGCTCAGCTTGAATAATTGTCTTCTTTTCAGAGACAGTTTTATAGGTATCTGCGCGACGAAGTGTTGGCAGATAATTCTCTTTTCTATGCTGATAAAAATTGGGAGTTTCAACAGTAACAATAAATTTTGCTAGGCTCTCTTTTTCATTTTTTTTTGTATATTTAGTAAGGATGTTTGAACATTTGGCGATGTAATCTCATTAGCAGAAATTACGAGAAGACGATCTATGCTTTTTAAAAATACATTAAATCGTAAAAACTGATCATGTAGTTTTTGTACAGAATATTCATCAATTTTCATCCGTTTTTTTCTACTTTCTACGTTTTGACTTGAGTGGTTGCTTAGGTCTCATGATGCACGAAATTCATCTACCATCATGCCAATCATATTGTAGCTTAAAAACTATTCGTCTAGTTTTGTGCTGGTTTTAGTCAATCACACGATTCCTCCTGCATCTTTTGAGTTTGTATTTATGTGTTTAAAGCTATATCTACAAATAGTTGGTAAAAGTTTCTGTTCAAACTTTTTACAACAAAATTTCCTCTAATAAAGTCTTCATGAAATTCTGGATACTTATCAGCAAATTTGTACATGTCCAACAAATATAATGTTCCCCAAAAAGAATAGTTCACATCGCCAAATCCAAAGAAGTAAGGATGCATTTTTCGAAAACTAGAACAAAAATGTATTCTCCAGTTTCCGCGTCCTTCAACAAACTGAAAAGGAAATGGACTTTATGGAAAAAAACATGCCTTAATCTGATTTTTGACTCGTTCACTGTCAGACCTGCTGCTTTTCGTTAAATCCGTTTCTAGATGAAAAAAATATTTACTTTAATATTAAGTAGATATTTAATATTTTTATTGTAGCAATAAGCTAATTAATTTTTAATAATTTAAAACTTTTAATATTAAAAATCTCAGCTCAGTGGATTTCGCGCTATTAGTAAAAAATAATGCACAATGATGCACTTTCGCAATAGAATATACAACACAACAGCGTTTCAATGTAAAATCGACCCTAACAACATCGCCATCACTAGAGTCGATTTGCTTTGACTTCAGCTTAGAAATCTCGCCCTTCCTCGCATCTCTGCGTTCAGCACTGTCCGTCGTGACATGCCGTTCGATTTAATTAATTCTTTCTTAAACTAAGTATCCAATCGAAATTCTAAAAAACTCACGTGTTCTCTGATTTTTGATCTATAATGTTTATACAAAGTAATTTTTTGCTAAACAGAATATTTTTCGAGGTAGAGCGAGGTAAAAGATTTTAAAAATATGGGTTTTCAGAACAAGTGATTTTGTATGAAGGCGCTCCGTATACAACAATGGTTTGACGTATTTTTATAAATAAAATAAAAATATTTCTAATGTCCAGATCAACATGAAAATTTGAGGAATGAACTTTCGGATATTGTAGATCCGAAAAATGACGAAAAAAAAATTAGCACTTTTTTTTGTAAGGCTCCCCACCACTCCCCTCCCGCTACGATTTTTGGACGACCAAGTGATTTTGCATTAGAAAGATATTAGAAACGAAAAAAAATAGGTTTTACATTTTAGCAACAAAGTGCCCACCAAAATCTATTCTAGAAGCCTTTTGCCAGTCTATTTACTCTACTATGAGCGTCGGATATCTATCCTCTCTAATTCTTCCAAAACCAGCAAATGCCCGTAAAACGCAGCCATATTAATATTTTTGCCTCAGTCTTCCTTGCGAATCAAAAAACACAACACCGCCTACTGAACTATTATCATCGAGTTGATGACTATTATCTATTTATTGCTGAACCTAACCTCGCTTCTCCCAGTCCCGCCAGTCATGTCAGATTAATTTCGACTCGAAATTAAATTTCAACCACTTTCTTGAAGTTGAAATTAATTTCGATAAATCGACATTTAGTGACGTCCTTTGGTTAGTTCAGCTGAAATCCACCAGGCTCGCAAAGTCGCATTTCGACGTCGCCATATTGATTTCAACATGTTTTCAGTCGAAATCTCAATTAGAATCAGGGCCCATGTCTACATGATTGTGTGGTTTCTAGTTTCTTTTACTTTTTTGTAGAATTTTCTACTTTCGTGTTTATTGTTATGCTTTAGAATCTCTTGAACTTGTTTTTCAGAGCCTCTCTTTTCTTTTTTTTACATTTTCTAGTCGCTTTTATTCTATAGTCGCTATAAATTTCCGTTATATCTAGTATTCCTTTGTAATTGTTCAAGTCTAGCTTGACTTTTTTCTTCCACCGCTGTTCTACATTCATCATCATATTATTCCGCATTTCTTTCTCTTTTAGGGTGTCAATTTGAAAAGTTGCCACCCTCTATAATTTGGTCCCTATAGAAAATCTAAAAATATGCAAAAACACGTCAAATTTATCTGTAAGGGGGACATTTTGTAGACCAGTTTTCAACTAAATTACATCAACCCTCTAGCGGGGGCGGACACAACCCACAAAATCTTTAATGGAAAGGGGGATTGAGTGATACCTCATTTTAAAGGTCGTTCAATTAAATTTTCAAAAATACCAAACGTTATATTTATTTTTAGTACTTTTGGAAAAATATTACTCAATACTCCAAAAAATTTTGGAGTTCTGAACTCGATACTTAATATTTTTACGGATTTACTTGACTTTTCCAAATTTATACTGAAAATAAATACAATGCATGTGGTATTTTTGAAAAGATAATTGAACGGCCTTTAAAATGATGTATCACTTAACCTCTGTCTCCATTAAAGATTTTGGGAGTTGTGTCCGCCCCCGTAGAGGGTTGGTGTAATTTAGTTGAAAACTGGTCTACAAAATGTCCGCCTCAAATATAAATTTGACGTGTTTTTGCCTATTTTTAGATTTTCCATAGCGACCAAATTAAAGAGGGTGGCAACTTTTCAAATTGACACCCTAAAATTCATATTTTTAATGTGTCATTAAGAATTTTTTTGATTGCATCCATTTAATTTATTACTTATTATTATTTAATTTATTAAATGGATGCAATAAGTAAAAAATATGTTTATCATGTACATTCGTTATCAGTCTATTTGTTTTACCGAGTTTTTTCTTCCTAGGATGTATGCAGATTTGAAAATGAAGCAGAGAATTCTCTTGTTGACGATTCCATTAATGATCCGAACTTTTCACCAAGCAGTGAAGATTCCGACTGTGAATCAAATGAGCGTTCTAGTAACTCTACTGAATCTCATGAGAGTCAGAATATTTTTGGCATAACTTCTAATGTCATTAATAATATAGAAAATTTACCCTATGATAATTACGGTGAAAATTCGAAGGTAAATTTCTAATGCATTTGTTACCTGCTTTAGATTAACTTTTTTTGTTTTAGGCTGAACTTAAGAATGAACGAATCGGAAAAACAGTTACTGAAGATTTCTGTTACTTTTTTGTGAGTTTAGTGAAAAATTTTGCGCGACACATTAAAAGAAATCACTCTGTAGAGAGCGAAGTACAGAAGATCTTGTCTTTACCAGCCGATTGTAAGCCGCGTAAAGATTTGATTACCACTCTAAGAAAACGTGGTAATTTTCTTAATAACAATCGCATTCAAAAACCAGTTAAAAAACCAAATTTAACAAACACTATTTTAGTACCGTGTAGCAACTGTTTGGGTTTCTATTCATCAAAAATGTTATGGCGACATAGGAAACAATGTCCAGGAGCAACAAAAACTAATTCAAAAATTGACGGGCAAAATATTTTATTGAAAGGTCTACGGGTAGATCCAGAACTTCAGCAGAAAGTGTTTCCAAGAATGGGACCCGACGAAATATCTATGGCTGCTAAATAGGATACTTTAATTTGTGCTTTTGCAGCAAGATACCTAAAGCAACATAGGGAAACCCATCTTATAAATGTAGCTTCTTGTAAGATGCGCGAATTAGCAAAATTATTAATTGAGGTGAGGAAAATGGAAAGCACTGTAAAAGATTTATTTGAAGCTTTACATCCTAAATATTTTGACACGTTAGTAGCAGCAACAAAAACAGTCGCAAAATATGATCCATTTAACAATTATTATAAGTCACCTACGTATGCTTTAAACATGGGGACCTCATTAAAACAATGCAGCGATATTGCTATATTACAAGCACTTAAAAGAAAACAGAATTTTGGAAATATGTCGACAGCTAATGCCGAGGCTGATTTAAAGACTACTATTCAACTTATAGAATCTCATTGGAAATTTTAAGTCTCTTATCAAGATAATAATGATTTATCTGTGAAAAAATGGAACAAGGTAACTATAGTTCCTCTGGCAAGTGACCTTAAATTATTAAAGGAATATCTAACTCGTAAAAAGAGAATAAAAATAAAAGACAATGTAACACTATGTAACTCTCCTAAAATGTGTTTATTGTAAAATTTTGCTTAAAGCTGTAAAGGTTACCACTGTACTTATATAAAAAAGCGGAAGCGCCTACTAATAAATATGAAGAATTTGATTTAGTTGTTTCACCCTGTGAGAAAATTTTAATGCAGCGATTTAAAGAATCGTAATACGAGGAAAATGGGGTAAAGGTGTAACAGTACTGTTCAGTTGTGATGTGCAAGAACAAATAGAAACATTGCTTAAGTTTCGTGATAATTTGGTAGGTTCTAAAAATTGTTATCTCTTTGGTAATCCAGGAAAAATCGAACCAATAGCGGGCTATAAAGTTTTAAAACAATTTGCTAGGGAGTGTGGAGCTAAAAATAGTAATGCACTATCGGCAACCAGATTAAGAAAACATTTGGCTACATTGTCACAATTTTTTTCTATGACTGATCAAGATGTAGAACAATTGTCAACCTTCATGGGACTACCTGATGACGTTTATCAAACCTTAAAGATTACAAAACTTCTTTTATTAATGGAGCAAGGTTTAGCAGCAGAGCACAAAGGTAAAAGTTTAAATGAAATCAAGATAGATTTAGAAGACGATCTCCTAGCAGCAGAAAATGTAGAAGATCACGAAGATAATATGGAAATGATAGTTTCTGCTGACGGACCTAAAGAAGGCGAATATAAATCGAAGCAACAAAAACAAAAAAGAGTTTTAATTAAATGGACGGAGGAACAAAAACAGGTTGTCCTTTCATTTTTTAAGGATCATATAAAGAAAAAAAGAACACCCAAGAGGATAGAAGTGGAACAACTTAAAGAAAAACATCAACAGCTACTTAGCAATAAGATTTGGCTGAAAATTAAAGTGTTTATACATAACACTTACTCTCAAAAATAAAATAACACATGTATTTAGACTATATGTAAGTACTTGAGAAAAAATTTAAGTTTTTAATGCACTATATGTTTATGAATCAATTGTTTATTTTTGCAATTTGTCTTTTTTCTGCGAACTTTCATATTTAATAGAAATAAAAAAAGAAAACAGTTATTAATGTATTAAGGCAACAAAGAGAGAGTTTTTATAATAAATGTGAAATGTAATAAAACAAATATTTAATAAGAAGATAATGGCCGAGATGCTTAGCTTTTTTAAATGACAAAATTGAAAAAATATTTGGATTAATGTTGAAAAAAAAAATAGAAACTGTTCAAGTGTCACCTAGTGGCTAGTGTATTGTTGCCAAGGTCTAAACTATATTTTATACTTACTTAATCCTAAGCCTTTTTACGTTTGATATACGATCGATGGAGTTGAGATCTATTTCCTTGCCTCCATTGTTTCCTATCGTGTATTAAATTTCCAAATTTATCCCATGCCATTCCATTCGTTGCAGCTTCTTTTCTGATTCCGTCTATCCCTCTTGCTCTTGATCTTTCTTTCTTATCTTTCCCATGCATTTGTTTCCAGTCTTTTTCATTTTGTCATTTATTTCTCTATCCAATTAAGCGTTTTCCCAGATATTTGTTTCCCATCCAATCTTATTTTATTTGCTATTTTCGTACTAGCAATAATCAGAGTTTTTGGTTTTGTAGCGTCAATTTTCATATTCCTTGATGTTTGCCAACAATGCCATGTCATCTGCAAACATAAGTTCAGTCAGTTGTGTTTGTTTTCGTCTAGATATTCAATTTTTTATTTCCTTATTCAATACTAGTGAAAATAGTAGATTAGTACACAGCCCTACTTGACTTCTTCCCTTATAATAAATTCCTTAGGTTTTTACGATATTGGCATTAATTTTGTACAATACATATATTTTAATACTTTTGCTGAATTTTTGTCTACTCCTCTTTTCATATGTCTTCTCTTTGTATTCTGTCAAATGCATTCTCCAAATCTACGAAACATATGTGTTTGTCGTTATTCTTGATAACTAGTTTCTCACTCGCTTCTCTGATAGAGTATATTAGGTCTTCTGTGCTTTGATTCTGTTTGAATCCACATTGCTTATCTTACAGCTAGAACACTTAACAGGGCAGTAGTAGAATATTGGTGGTATTATGGCTGTTTCCTGCCTATTGGTACTTTTGTCTTTTTCATTATTTCATAGATTAATTCAGCTATTCTGAAATTTCTAAATGTCCCTTTCTTCCTTCGTATTTTATCACATCCGCAGTGATGTTATCTTTAGGTACCTGATAATTTGATATTTTACTCTTTTTATTGAGTCTTTTGTTTAATATTCTTTTATGAGTACCATGATTTTTTCTTATTTTGTAATTTCTTCCTCCTCCTATTCTGGTATGTCTGTGTATGTTAGCTCGTCGAAATACTTTTTCCATCGTTCTATTATTTTTTATTTTTCTCTTATTATTTTTCCAATTTTTTTTTTACGTTTATCATTGTATATTTCCTTTCTGTTTCATTTGTTTATGCTAGAGATTAATTTTTGATATTCTTTACATATTCAGACTAAAAATCTCCCATGATTTTTGTTTTGTTTTTTATTGCTATTTTCAGTTATTTTCGCTTTTTTTGGATAGGTACTTCATAATATTCAGGGTTTTAGCAATGTTCTCATTTGTGTTTGCTTCTTATTTTTATACTTACTTTCTCTGTCCGCCATATAATTTTTTCACATTCTTATTTCTCATCTTCATTTTACCACAACTTTCCTCTACCTCTGTCAGTATTTCATTTTTAAGACGTTTCCATTTTTTTATGCTTTTGTTTTGTTTTTTATCGTTTAATGTAGTACCTATAATTTCTTAATATCTCTTTGAACAAATTTTCTTCCATAATCTACAGTTGTATTTTTTTCTTCTGGCATCAGTGCTTTTATTTTAAATTTATATAAGATTATAGAAAACCAAATTTTTGACATCTTATACAGGAAATACTAGTTAACCCTCTATAGTTCGACGTTTTATGATCCGACATGCTCGATAGTCCGACATTTCCCGTAGGTCCAAGAACAAGTAATGACAGACTGTTTACGCAAAAACGCAAAAGCATAACATATAGAAATCTAATATACAGTAAAACCTCCGTTAACCGAAATAATGGGGGGGGGGGGCGTTTCGTATAACAAGACTTTCGGTTAAAAATAACATTGTTTTTTTATAGTATTCTTGGTTAAAGTATTGTTATTAAATAATACTATGAGGTGATTTTGTAATGTTTTCTAATAAGTAATACATTGAGGAAAATGAACAAGTTTAACAAGTTTTTTAAGGAAATCTTCTATTTTCTTTTACGTTATCGTTTGACAACGATGTTTTGCAGCTATATATCTTCATCGTTCATTTGCAGAACGTCGTGAGTTTGCCTCATTTCATCGTTCGACGAAACGTAAAGCAATCTGAAAAGGACAAAACTTTATACAATGATAACAAAAATTAAGAACCTAGTCGTTTCCCTAACATATTAAGTAGCAAGAATGTAACAAGATGTAACAAGAACATCAAAACCATACGTCAGCTGTATAGCAAAATAAAACAACCCCTAACTACTTTAGAGTCAAGAAATGTTGTTTATTGCATTCAATGTACTGAATGTCCATCCACGTACATTGGTGAAACTGGAAGAAATCTGTCTAGTCGTATCATTTCTCATAAGAGTGACGACTGTAGACTAAATAAACCCACTTGTGCTTTGGCAGAACACACTATCGATCTAGACCATAAGATAGATTTCAACAATGTAAAAATATTAGCCAGAGAGAAAAATAAATTTAAGAGAACATTCTTAGAAATGGTACATATCAGCAGGAGTGATAACAATCTGAATAAAAGATCTGAGATCTAGAATCTTAGCAAAATTTACAATTTTATTTTGACTTTTGACTAGGGTCTTCTGCATCTCAGAGTGTTTCATGTCTTGTTTCTTAAATTCCATTATTAATTGCTACAATTATCATGATTAACTTCAGTTATTATTCAGATGGTTCATTTTGTTTTGGTTGTTTGTTTTTTCTAAACCTACTTACTAAATACTATTTTCTTTTTATTGTTTGACATAATGAATTTTTTTTAAATTTCCCTCTCAATTTAAAGTTGGTAACATGGTTGGTAGTACTTAAAATCACAAACGGTATTTTGTTAGACATCAGTTTGAAAGTTTGTTTTTTGTAGTTACATCGAACTATTTAAACAACAATAGTTCCTCCTACTGCTTCTTTCTGTTCGTGAGATGTGACTGAATTCAAACCTGCGAAGACGACTGTTTTTTGTCAAACATGTCGTCTTATTTTTTACATTTTAAACTTTGTAACATGTTCTTTAATTTTTAAGTTATTTTAAAATTTCTAAGTTTTAATGCATTCAGTAATTCAGATCACATTATGTTATTTAACGTTGTGTTTTATATGCTATGAATCTTATTTTCTGGTAAGTTTTTATAACTTTGATATTACATCAGCCTAAGTTTATAACACAGTAATTTTCATTGTAGACCTTGA